ATAAAAAAAACAGATATATGTACGTACATACATATATCTATTTATACATACATATTTACATATATATTATACTATATTATATATATATATATATATATATATATATATATATATATATATATATATATATATATATATATATATATATATATATATGCATATATGCATATATACATTTGTAGATTTACAAGAATTCATGATTTCCGATTTTTTTTCCCGCCTTTCTACTCGAATGTAAACTGAGCAATAAAACTGATAATCCATGAAGACAAATGGATGCAAAATATATGTAACCCACTAATAGAAAATAGATATCTAGATCATACATCTTAAAATAGGAAAGTTACATCAATTTCTAATACGGATGAAAATAAAATCTATTCAATCAGAAAGCACATTTGAAAGTACTGACAGTATGATAGAAAACGAACCACCAGAGAAAACGGACTTTTAACCCAGACTAAAATAAATGGAGAGGGGAGACTACTGCAAAATATAACGCCCCGCAACAATATGTATACTCACATCCAGTATGTATTTTATTCGAGTTCTGGGCGCTTTAAAGAATGAGAGTCGATGGATTGGATCGAAAGTAGTCACGTCACCGTTGCATGGCACAGCTGGCTCTACCCCACTGTTGGATACCTTGGCACTGAGAGAATCGAACACTCGCGCTCCACCGACATTTACCTCGCCACCCACACTCTCAAGGCTTATTTCCCTGGGATAACTATCTTCCTCAAGGTCGACTAGGACCTCGCATCTCACATCTTGCTCAGCGTGGTTGTTGACAAGATTGCGCCGCTGGTTGAGGTCGTCCAAGCGGCAATACGGGACCCGAACCCACCCGCCCTCGGCCAGCCACAGCCTCATCACGTCGCCAAGCGCTTCCCCGATCGGTAACTTGCTACCTAATTGCACTACACTCTTTAGTATCACTCTCGATTTTTCTGGAATGCCTTTTCTAACATCATGAGTATACACTTCACGTTTACTGTGTTACTCCTAAGAATTTATCCCGATAGTTCCTTGATTATTAGAATGATGACACCATTCACTGCAATGTTAACTATGGGACACACGATATTTATATTTACAATTCCAATACAATTTTCTCATTTGATATACATCACTCTATTACTACATTCAAATCACTGCACAGCGCAGCACACTTGTGCGCATGCAGTGACCACTGCGCAGCTTAATACTGCCGAGTCGACAAGATCAGTTGCTTATAAGTGCCAGAGCCGCCTCGTGCCTGGGTGGGGCGGGCATGAGTGTACGGGCGCGGGGGCACAATGGGTGCAACTGGCAGCAGTGTTGATAACCTCGGCGCACGGGACGCTCGGTTCGCAGCTCACTCTCGAGGCTCGGCTGGGCAGTGGAGCCGAAGGTCAGCCGGGCCTCGAGACGCAGCTCAGAAGGGGCGGGGAGGATGCAGGGGGGGGGGGGAGTCTTACAGATCCCTCCAACTGCTTAGAGTATCAATTTCTGGTAACCTTACTCAGCTCGCACTTAGAGAAACGACACAATGCTGCGCACTTGGGAAATGGCGCTGGGAAACGGTCGCCCAGGAAGCAAACACCGCAAGCACAAGCACCGCCTGTTAAAAAGCAGCGAGAGAGCGATCACCTGGCAGCACAGCGCCGCGGACACCTTGGGTCGCCGCAGCACCAGGACTGGGTCACCGCCGCCGCCACGCGCTCGCCGCCGCCTCCTACCTGTTACCGACGATCCCGTGCCAGCGTGACGGCTAAATGCGGAACACGCGACACCATCGCCGCGATACCTACGCCTACTATGTCAGAGCCGCTAAGTGGTCACCTCGATAGGCTTCCCTGGCCCAGAGACAGAAGAAACACGAGGGCGAGGAAGAGAAAGGGGGTGAGGAAGAGGAAGAGAAGAGAAGGGGAAAGGGAATGAGAAGGGGAAAGTAGAAGTACGAAGATGCAAGACGAGAGAGGGAGGAGGAGGATGAGGTGAACAAAAAGAGAATAAAAGGAAGAACAGGAAGTTTGAAAATAGAAATGCAAACGGTAGGGAACGGGAAATAAGAGTTATTGTTAGAGCGTTATTTTTTTCTGTTCTTATGTATGTGCATTTACTTTCGTTTGTCCGTGTGTGTATGTGCGCATGGGTGTGTTGAAACAGTGATGCCCTCATTCACGTACATTTTCCCCAAGAAGTTCAAGAACTGACCCATTCAGTGAGGCTTGGCAAAGTATGACACAAGTGAAAGTGCATGAGGTTCCTGTCACTATCAACCCTTGTAAGACATCACCCATTATCAACCTATAGTATCCCCATTTCCTAATAATAAAAGTTAGCAAAACGAAAAAAAAATTCTGTAGTTATTCTATTATAAATGATGTTCTATGCCATCATCATCACAAGATCATATCAGCATTCGTAGTACTACTTGCTTTCTCCTATTCCTTCTTCGTCCTCTCCCTCCTCTTCCCCTTCTCCTCCCTCTTCCCTTGCACAACTTAGAGATTATATAATCATGATTACCAAGCTTTGACATCAGTACAGCCACGTCGTGCCCGAGAGATGTAACTGAACATGAAACTACGCCTATGTATTAATACGGGACAAGTGCACAAGCCATATGTACACATCGTGGGATAAAAAAAGTAAATAGTCAGTAATATATAGCTATAGCTATTTCAGTTTACGAACTGACATACCGGAAAAGGAACCGAAGTTAACATCAACAAATCTCCAAATACTATCTCCTCATGCATCCTCCTCCTGATATAATGAAAGTGTAACACCGGGGCTTCCGAAGGAGAATGCTGTCCCGGGCTTAGTTTTCAAAGACTACACACTATGCATACACCCATACATACACATACATACACATACATACACAAACACACACACACACACACACACACACATACATGAACACACGCACGCGCACGCACACAGTCAAACACACTCCA